GAAAATTAAAATTTCCACCCCTCCAAGTTTGCACTTATTTCACATTTAGTCCCCATATTCCCAAAAAAACACATCTAAATTGGTCATTTATGTTTCAAAAATTATAACATATTTGGTCATTTCAGTAAATGTACTGTTAGTCCGTGAGTTACGGCAATGATATCACACGCTTGATTCCGTTCTTACTAACGAAAAATTGATGGAAAGGATAAAAAGTGTTGAATTTTTAAAACACGAGGGACTAAACTTGTTTTTTTGTGAACAAGGAGAACCAAATGTGAAATCGATGTAAACTTAAGGGGTGAAAAGTGCATTTTTTCCCGGTTTTATTACCATGATCCAAATCGAATATAGAGAACTTGACAGCTTATAACATTGCATCTAAATTGGAACTATTGAACACATAATGGGACATCACAAGGCTTAAATTATTGGGTAGGCCAAATTCAACAAGCAATTCGGAATTGCAAGCACAGCTCACAAACACGAGAAAAATACGAAGACAGCATTAAGAACCACAAATATGACGAGAGGACACAATTCTCAGCAACTATATATAGAACATCGGTTCATTATTAGTCCGATAATATAGTTTTTAGTATACATCGGTGCAACTAGTTAAAACAAACAGCAATTTCTCTACAAGTATGCCCGAAACCCTACCAACTTCTCAGACATTAGAATAGTATATTACAGTTCTACACCAGCCAAAGTGTCGCATGCTCAGTTCAGCGCACACGTACAGCTTATACAACCAATTTTTTTTATTTTTTTTTTGGTAGAATTATGTTTCGCCTCATAACTTAAACAACACTACAATAAAAATTTATCTACGGCAGAAGAAAGAGAAATCGGGGTGATTGACTTGTAGTAAATTCAGCCAATTATCAGCAGCTTGCAAGAGAGATTCCGCTATCTGCCCCTGATTCCCGACATTCGGTGGGGTCCACAGCGATTCTTTATATTTATACGAAGCAAGGCCGAATACTGGGAGTGAAATCTGTGGAACACCGTCAATCTCAGATGGATACGTCACAATTGGCCGATGCATCGCTTCATTTCCTGCACGACCATAAATAACAGAGTTACATGCGCAGGAAATAAGATCGAAGAAATGGCACGGAGAAACGGTTTTAGGTATACCTGTCATATGAGTGTGAAGAGAATGAAAGGTTAGAAAGGAAGCATCCAAATCTTTAAGAGTTGGCCCCGTTGGTATTCTGTAAATGGGGTACCTAAAAATAATTGTGCGACACGAAGTAAGATACATACACATGGATCAACGACTCTCAGAGACAAAAGAATGCATCTTATACAAAATGATACATACCATGCCACAGAAATCCAACTCGATGGAAGTAAATCACAACTTCTGAGTGTTTTTAGTTCTGGGAATTTACGAGCAAGATCGGATATCTGTTAACATTTCAGATTAAAAAAAATTGTGTAAGAAACGGGAAAATAAATAACCTTGAACTTAACAAGAAAAAATCTATAACGGCCACTGAGGAGAGAGAGAAAATTCACCTTGTCCGCCAAAGGCTCCCTACAATATGGTTTGTCACGTTCAAAGTAGTCAAATAACAAGCAACTCCGTGAACTTTCGGATTCACCTTCATCGCTAGAAAAGCCTTCTTGAAGATAAGTAAGTTGTTTATTTGAATAATTAAAGCCCCCTCTATCTTGTTCGCCATCACTGCTTCCATCACTACTAGAATCCCTAGAGTATTCACCGTCACTTTCTTCACCAAGTTTCCTACACACGCATACGCAGAAACAACACTTTTAAAAAGAGTATAATTACCCGATACGTACCATAATTTGCCACAAAATTGTAAAAAGTTGAGCACAACTCCAAAAGCCACTCGTTTTCTCAATTTTTACTAGCCGGTAACTAGTGTCTTAGTGCATTTCAAAGCCGATTTGAAGTGATGATTCAAGCATAACGAAGTTGGTCTACGTTTCAAACTGTAGATACAATACGGGCCTAAAAAGAACACACTCTAAGAAAAGCCACAGAAACAAACATTAAAAAATAAATACAATTCTTGTACCACCTCGCTTTCTATATTCTTAAATTCAAGGTCGTTAAATTCAAGAATAACTTCTCAACAAAATATAATATACGTGGAGTGGACAGAGATACCTTGACTTTGCTGTACTCTTAGATAGGTCTGCATACAATTGAATTCCTGACAAATAGGGAACATAATACTGAACCACGCCCTCGCTTCCATCCAATACCAAAGGCACTCCGGCACCATAGGCACTCCATTCTTTGAACGACGCCCATAAATCACCGAGCACAAAAAAAGGCTGAAACTCGACATTGCACGTTCTCCAATCCCTTATTGTCATCTGTGGCATACAAAGACAATCAAATTTTTCTTTTACTTCGACAAGAAAAGGAGCACTAACATTAGATTCAATATCCTCTAGTAGTAATAGCTCGCTCGTAAATTCTACACTAGACCGTTTTCGATTCTATTTCGTCAGATACTGATCCACTAAAAAAGCAGAAACCAGAACAAGTCTTTCGGCCTTGTACATTGTGACAGCACCACAAAATATTACTAAGATTACTACTAGGCTCACAAATTTAACAACAATCGACGAGTTCGTAATAAAACAACCGCCGGATAAACCTCGTTCGTATATATGATTCAGATCATTTCATAATCACAAACTGGAGCAGTATTACTAATAGGCTTTTTAAGCAACTAAATTGCCAATAAGAACACAAATCTTGAATATTTTATTCGATACTTCTATATAAACTTCGACCGATTCAGAATCCCTAAATTGAAAAAATAAAATAAATAAAAATTGGGGGAAGAAAATGGAGAACCTTAGATAAGTACTGTGCTTGGACGGAAGGCGTAACAGATTCCAAAAACCTCTCGAGATTACACAAAGGCGAGGGTTCTGGAACCGGCTGCAAAGCCGGAGCCGCCGGCTTTGACTTTTCCAGCGGCAGCTCATCACGGCGGCTCCGCCTGGAGGTGACGTCACCCTGAGCCCTCCGCAAAAAATCCGGACTCCGGCGAGCCCTAGCGGCGCTGTAAAATCGATCTTCACCATTTTTACTCTTATTGAACTGCACTCCTGCTCCCAACATATTAACAACCAGAACTGAACAAAATTAAAAACCCCAATCTACCTATACAACAGCAGTATATTGTGAATTAGCAAACCCTAAAACCTCTCAATTGAAAACCTTTTTTCCCTGCAAAATCTTTCTATCTATTTATAATTAATGCGGCCTCTGGTATCGTGAAAACGTGAAATCAAATCGCCTGATTGTAGCAAACAGCAGTTTTTAACTCGGATCAAAACATAAATTGCAAGTTCTTCGGAGAGAGAGTAGAGTGTATGTATAGGGAGAGTGTGTATGTATGTATATATATCTGAGTGAGAGAGAAATGAATGGGGAAAGTCGGAAGGAGGAGGAAGATGAAAAAAGAACAAAACTTTAAATAAGTTGTTTATGGTTATAAATTTATAATTATGGGGTTGAAATTGAAATTTAAATAAGTTTTTGAATTATGTGAATTATGAAACGATTTAGTTTTTATTTTTGAACAATAATATTTATCAGAATAACATGTTCAAAAAAATAAATTATCACAATAACATTTACAATTTAATATTTGAATTATGCAGTTTTGGATACGAATGTCCTTTTTGTTGGAAGTTGGAACAACAATTTTTATTCCGATTTTCAAAATTTACGATTTCAGAAATTTTTTTTACTCGAAATTGTTTGAATTGGAATTGGGATATAGTGTATTAATTTATAGAGGTTTAATTATAAATGAGATTTGAATTTTTTATCTGGTTTTATATTTTGAAAATAATATCGAAACATTGATTATTTTTTCCTCCAAATGTTGTATTGTGTATTTACATTATAAATGATTGAAAAAAATGAAATTTTTGAATTCGATCGATTTCAGTTGAAATATTCCCAATTTTAGAACAAGTTTTGTATTCTATTTCAAAAACTCGGATTTTCTTTTTCTGAAATGTTTTGAAACGGAACTAAAAATAGTTTTTTATAGGCATGTAAATCGGATGAATTGGATTGGAGTTAGCCCTTTCGGAAAATTTCGATTATTTCGGAAGTAAAAAACTAGTTCCAGTTCCGTTCCCAAAGAAAAGAGAAAAATCGGAAATCGAAATTTCAGAAATTGGAACGAAAAAACTTGTTCCAAAATCGGAAAATGTGGGGAGAAATCAAATTTTTTGGAACTATTTTCAGAACTTTAGTCAGATCGGAAATCGGTATCTCATATATATCCCAATTCCGATCCAAATAATTTCGGAAAAATCAGAAGTTGAAATTTCGGATTGAAAAATATTGCTCCAGAATAGGAAAATTTCAGATCGGACGCGGAAAAAAATCAGAATTTTTGGAATTCTTTTATGAACTTTAATTGAATCGGAAATCGATATCTCATATATATTCCAATTCCGGTCCAAATAATTCCGGAAAAATCAGAAGTCCGAATTTCGAAATTTGGATTGAAAAATATTGTTCCATAATTGAAAAAATTCAGATCGGAATTGGCAGAAATCGAAAATTTTGTTCCAATTTTCACCCCTAGTTTTTCACATTCCAATTTTGTCAGGGCCGGTCCAGCGTATCCGAGGGCGCAGGGGCGAGAATATAATTGCTCGGACCCGGGGCGAGAATATAATTGCTCGGTAGTTCAGGGGCAACGTCTTTTTTTCCCGGATCTTAAGCTTAATGAAATAATATAATTAGATTATTAACATAAACCTCATAAAATAGAATAAAATAGAAGTTTGAAAATATTAATGTCTAGTTAAAGCACTTTTTCTGTAAAACAAATGTTAGAATAAAAAAATTATTAAATTTCAAATCTATTTTTAAAATAAATTTATAAAAAAATAAAGAAATAAAAAAATTAAAAAAATATTTTTTTAAACAATAAAATAATTTTTGCACATAAAATATAGAATATATATATTAAAAAAAATTTGGGGTATCCTATGAAATTGGGCCTTAGACGTGGGCCCTGCTCACCCCACCTCAGGGTCGGCCCTGTATAAAGTTCAAACTACAGTGAATCATGGGCTTCTATTATAAGTACAAGGTAGCCATGTAAACAAATCTCAAATTATAGAATGATTAAATGTTATTTACTTTTCCTTTTAAATTTCGAATTTCAATTTGATCCGTACCATCTCCGCTCATATTCTAGTTGAGGGGTTTTGTATTTCTCATAATATAGAGTTTCAATTTCAATATGAAATTACCAAACTACTTAAGAGTTGAAATTGCATCATTTTCTTTACTTTATGATAATCGAGTTTGAACTTATTAGCTCCGTTTTATATTATGCGTTGTAAAGCTTTGAGAAACATATGAAAAAAAAAATTATTTATTAATTTATGAAATTTTACCATACGCGGTTATATTTATATAATCAAGGTTATATTTATATAATCATGATATCAAATGCAATTTTAGTGTTGTCCCATCATTTATGACTATATTATTACCCCACTAATTTATTATAGCCGACCAATGGGATCACTAAAACATTATTAGATTTAGTAGCAACCCATTACTAGCTAAGCACGAAAATAATTGGTTCTTAAAAGTTTGTTCAAATTAAGAATGTAACGTGCAGAATCACGATGGGTGACACGTGTATGGCTAGATTTTAAAAGAAGGCTGCTTCTTATCCTACTGTCCTCGTGATTAGCTTCAGTACTACTCCTTCGTTCCTAAATAAGTGTCACTTTTCACTTTTCACAAAGATTAAGAAACTCAATAAATATATCTTGATCTTAGAAAAATCATATAAAAATGACTAAAACAACCTTTAATATTTAATGATTTATAAGAGAAAGTTAATGAATAGAGTTTCATTAATAAGGTTAAAACAGGAAAAATACATTTAATGCAGTATTGGAAATATAAAGTGACCGATAATATGGAACAACAATATTTATAAATAAAAAAAAACAGTTATTGTGGAACAGATGGAGTACATAAATGTTGCAACCACCATTGAAGTATTCAAGCGTTTTTTTATTAAATAAAATATTTCTATAAAATGTTCAATCGTACTCTATTTCTGGTTATTTCTATAATACATTCGGTTAAAACTATACTTAGTGACTTTTTACAATTAATCTACACATACAAATGTGAGTGTAAGTATTTATATTATATGAATAGTAAAGATCTATTCGATATATTTCACCCGATATCCCAACGTAGAATAGTCCATGTCTTTCTACTCTTTTAGCCCATGGCATATCCATATTTTTATGCTATACTAAATTGATAGAATAATAGAGTGTAGTCACTTGGAACTTATTGGGGGCTAAAAGAGTAAAATGAGTTTTTGTTCCAAATGAAATAAAGAATTGTTCCCCATAACATTTTCATCATGATTTAAAAGTGACCCTTTTTCTTTGGTCAAATGGAATTATTTAGTCAACATAAGTTCAATGCCGAGGGTCCCACTATAACCTTGTGGTGTGACATACTTGAATTATTGGTGGAGGGTATTTGTGGAGTGGGGTAGGGTATTTCAATATTTTTTAGTCCTTTAAGTTTGCTAGTTGAGAGTTTTAGTCCACCATGTTTTAAAATTAGAATTTTAGTCCTATAAGTTATAAAAGTTGAGAATTTTGGTCCTATGACCTGCAATAACAGGTAATGTGATGGTTTGTTGGTATTTAAAATATAAAAATAAATAGATTAAAAATAATTAGGTGATGTGGCTAATGAGTTGAACAATTTTGGAGGGAAATAAAATATACCATCAAATTATTTTTGTATTTGATGAATCAAATAAGCATTTTCGTAGTAACTATTTTTTAATTAATATTTTATAGTTTTCAATTGATAAAAATAGTAATTAACTATATTTTATTACTCGTTATGGATATTTGTTACTCTTGGTTTGATAATGTATTTTATGTTTGGAGGGTCTAGAATATTTTTTTGTTACATTTAATTTAATAGAGTTTTGAATATATTTTATTATTTTTTTGGTTAATTCGTAAATGTGCATTTATTTTTTTATACTAATTATGATTGTGTATGTCATTTAACTTTACAACAAGGTTTAATAAAATATTTTTTTTTCGATTTTATGTTGAATTTGATTGTTGGTTCAATTTCATTTTAACCACTAACTATAGATTTGTAAAAAAATGAAATATTTAGATAAATATGAATTTAATTACTATTTTTATCAAATAAAAACTAAGAAATATTAATTAAACATTAGTTAGTCTTATTTCATTCATAATAATATAGTTGTAGATTTTATTCAATGGGTTTATTGTGGTTCTTTATTGCAAACATAACAAAAAAAATTAAATATATAAATTAATATTTAATATGTTAAAATTTCGTCATTATTTTGGTGAACTTGACATTGAGGATCATTTTTTTCTCCAAAAACATCCAACTCATTAGCCACATCACCTAATTTATTTTTATATTTTATATTTTAAATGCCAACTTATTCAAAACCATCACATTACCTGTTATAGCAGGTCATAGGACCAAAATTCTCAACTTTTGTAACTTACAGGACTAAAATTCTGATTTTGAAAGATGGTGGACTAAAACTCTCAACTAACAAACTTGCAGGACTA